GCACGGCATTAGTGATTAAATGTGTGATCGCTCGCAACGTCAGCTTGGTATAAGGCGAAGCAAGGTCCGCGTCATCGATTTGGGCCGCTCACAACGCTGCTATTACCTTTTATTCATCATCCTCGTGTTCTTATGTATTATAACCAAGACCCATTTCGACTAATGCACCGCGTTCGTAGTCGCTCTAAGTACCACGTTTCCGATTGAGTACGGGAAAACAACGAAAAAGGAAAAAACCAACCCAACCAAAACCAATGAAAGGCCGAAGAAAACCGTGCAACAAGAAAAACCTCAAATAAGCCTGCAACAAACCCAAACCGTTCCTTTTTTTTTCCTCCTTTGAAGGAAAAACCCAACCGGGTAAAAAATAGTGCATATCGGCTCTGTACACTTTGGCTTATGTCGGTGCATCAAGGACCACGTGGACATCTTTAGAACTTTGTTGTGGCGCAAGCATATTTTTAGAGATGGACTTTTGACAATATAACTTTTGCGTCGCCTCTGTGAAATTGTTGTGGCTGATGGAGACTCGATCCATCCCTCATCAACGCTGATTGACATACAGGGAGATCTTCTGGCAGGTACGTCAGCGTGTACGTGTAATTGGCTGTGTTGGAAGATAAGGCATAACTACAAATTATATTTATGCTTGAGGTAGCCGACGAAAGACAACTCGTCTGGTAGCCACCATTTCTTCACCTATTTCATATAAAACTTGGATTGTAAAATTGTAATGTAATCTGGAGAACGTGAAACTTGACACCGTAGCTATCTAAAACTGAAGTCATCGCTCGACTACCTCTCAACTGTGATCACCAAATGACTGTCCGGTATTCTCAATTGGTCGACAAATCTAGCCAGAAGTACTATAACTTTGTATGCCAAGTTTTAAATAAATCGGAAAATACCGGCAATCCAAGGTTACACCATAGTTAGCGGGGGATCCGGTAGGTGTTTCATTTTCCGAGAAATAATAGTCCGGGTATTTATATCCCGTAATTACACAAATTATGAAGGTAAAATTGGTAATACAGTATAGTGGTGACCATCGGCATCGATACTTGTGTTAGATTAATAAGCTATACAAATGTTACCTGTGTCGTCGCCCTTGCGGTTAAGTACGCCTATGTTATTGTGGGATGTTGCGCCAGCAATTTACGGAAACTAATACCTTTCTGAATAGAGGATAGTTGCATCGGATAGCGTTTTTCAAGAGCGCTGGAGCAGGGTCCGATTGACTTTGTTTTCAGAGCAAGGTTGGAAAGAACGACATTTTTTGGGGAGTGAACGTTATTTGTAACTTCGAGTGATATAGCATAAATAAGCATGTCTTGACGGTGTGTGGCAGATATGTGGTTCTATATGTCATTGTATACTAGTTTCGATGTTTCCGGCCTCAAGCTCGCGCACGAGCTCGTTGATTTCCTCAATGCGGTCGTGAAATTTGTCCATATCGTCTGTATGATTCGTTTTCCTCCTGGCATGACTAAAATGAACCGTTCAAGTGTTACTCATGTATGGCATTCAACACATTTCGCGATAGCGGGAAACAGATGATAAGTTTTTTTTGCGGTTCATTTACGGGTCGGGTCGGGGTTAGATTAGGGAGGGATGACCCGCTGTGGGCAACGTTGTAATCGGTAGGCCACTCTCGTGTTGGCTCTCGTCTGCGGACTTAGCGATGGGGGTCGTTTCTGTCTCGCTTGCCCCTTACGCGAAGTTCTCGACTCGGCCAGGCGCGGTGGCTGAAAAAAAAAATCGGGTTGTAGCGCTCGCTTCGACAACCCCGCCTAATCGGCGGGCATTGGCAGAGCGTGAATGGACTGAGTAAGGCTCGCGCTCGCATCCGCTCGCCCTTTCCCGCGGGGGGTTCAGATGTCGCCCACCCTCCTATTAAAGTGTTACTTATCCGATACTAAAGGCAACTTGTTTAATAATATTATTAATGTTCATATACGGGTCGAGTCCAGGTTAGGTCGAAGAGTCGCCCATATATTATATGGGCGACTCTTCGACCTAACCTGGACCCGACCCGTAAATGAACCGTAAAAAATCTAGCAAACAGATAGTTATTAACTCTTACATAATCTGATGCGTCCCTCGCAATGCAGCAGCTTGCGAACGGTCTGTGAATTTAGCTGGTATCGGACCGTCACTGACTTTGAGGTTATGCTATACGAGACTTGTACAAAAGGAACACTGCAAAAATAATTGTACGCTTAAAAAACTATTTGGAGTTAGTTCGCAGAGGCTCGCTCTGTAGTATTTTCGTTTAGCCTGCTCGATATATCTAACCAAACAATTTAGCCACCTCCACTAGCGGCGGTAATTCACAATTGCTATCAGAGATTGAAAAAAAAGCAATAAAATAACTACTGTACATTTTGTTCTATTTCTGCTCCACGATAATAACATACATTAATGTTCATCTCCTTACGGCTAGTGCACTTATGAAGAACTGGGCTCGCTGAAATGTCTACCACCACGGTCTAGGTGAATCGCTGGAAGATTGACGGCTGGAAATTATGTGCTTGCTAGGAGCTGTAGACTTATTGGCTGAAAATCCTGCGCGTGCTCGGGGCTGCAGACGTACAGTGCAGGGGGCAAGTATCCCGCGCTCGTTCCTTGTGCCTCCGGTTCTGGGGCCGGAAAAAATCAATAAGTATTACAAAAATCATTTTTTTCGCAAAAAAAAAAACTGAATTATTTTCAAAACTATAAGTTGAAATTGTATCGATTTTGCTATCCCGTACACACATAACCAAGAATTAAGTCACAAAATAACTCTTGGACTGTTACAGCTCTTCACATGGTTAAGTGTGGTATACCAATAACGACATCAAGATATCACACTTCTTTACGGGTTTTCTGTGTTGAAGCATTTTTGAGCAATTTGAATCCGTAACATCTTGTAACAGTTCGTTTTATTCCACTGCAGATTAATCGTAAAGTTCTTCACTCCTGGACGAAAATCGATACAGCCCATAAATCGCTCCGATACAATTACTGTTTGAAGAGATACTGTTTGTACGCGAAAGCTCACTCCGATCGCAGCCACACCAAAGGTGCATATCGGTAGAGGAAAGAGAAGCGTTGCGTCTCCCTTCAACCGCATTCAACACGAGCAAGAACTCGTTCCTCCAACCTTCATTTCTCAACGCTCAAAATCGAAGTCAAGTCCAGTAAACCAGCCGGTTCAAGCACGATCATGGTGTCGAAGCCATCCCCTGTGTGTCCACTATCTCGCGCGACTCAGTTCAAAACGGCTCTTCGGTATATGCATGATGAGGGTTCTTCACTCTCGAGGGCTGGGGAGGCGTTTAGTGTTTCCAAGACTTCTCTCCATCGCCGTGCTACAGGTGCGATGCCGGTTGATGCTCACAAGGAAGGCAGATTATTCTGTCGACTCAGGATGAAGCAGGCGTCGTGGAGGTGGTTCTGCTGCGGTCGAAACACGGCGTTTGTATGACGGACAACGAGATTCGCATCTTAGCGAGACGTGTAGCTATTGAGAAACACGGAACGATTCCAGACTCGTTTCCTTCGAAGAAGTGGTCTCTTCGCTTTGTCAAGCGCCATGGTGCTGTGATCAGTCGAAAACGCTGTCAAATTCTTAATGCCAAGCGTAATGACATCTCAACTGAGAAGCATTTGCGTGACTGCCACGCCAACCTGCAAGATGCAATGCAAGGGCAGCTTCCTGGACAGGTTTGGAACTGTGATTAGACCGGATTCTGCCCTCGAGGAAGAAAAAAAGCACGGGTTATATGCTCTGTATCGGGCTCAGACCGTTACCGACATACACTAGCGAACTGGGAAGGTGTTGGTAGATTAGACTCTGAAGGTTACCTATCGAGACGGCCTCGGCACACGACGCCGTCACAACCAGTGGATACGTATATAGTTCTGATTGGCCACCGCGATGGAGCGGTGGCGGCATTGTGTGACGGTAGCCTGTCACACCACCCCTCACTCAAACTTGAAGAATAGTGGAGGCGTCGGAGGTAACGGCAGTCGGGAACTTGCAGCGCGGGGAGCAGGATGGACCCGGGAAAAGAAGCAGCGCGGGATCCGACGCTGGCAGCGGGTACGCCAGCGTCCTAAGACATCGGCGGCTCGGCGATTGTCGTGGCTTCAAGAGCCCGCTGACGGACAGTGAGATGTGGATCTAGTTCGAGCGGTGGCGAGGTGTGCGCGGCAAGGGCGTCGCTCGACAACGCCTGGACTGCGTTCCAAGAACAGTGGAACTGCGAAACCGGACCTGTCTTCCGCAAGACCATCGCGGCTCGTGAGGCCACGCATGAACGCATGGCGGTCGGACTTCTGGCGGCGCGACTCTGCGAGCTGTCGTGGGCGGCGGACCGGCACTGCTGTTACGTGCATTACCTTGAAGGCTGTCCGAAGTGTCGCGGTTTCAGCCTGCCGCGACCATACGAAGGCGAGTGGCAGCGCTATGTCAGAGACCATCCCCTCTCCGACGTTGAAGAGCATCTCATCGGCTGCTACCGTCGGCGTCTCTACGAAGCTAGGCACGGCACCTAGAGTCGCCTTGTACGGCGCCACGCAGTCCGGCACGTCCGCAACCAGCACAGTGCGGGGCTCCCAACTGTCGTCCATGGGACCAAGCCAGCGGACCAGGTAGACGGTGGTCAGGTATCGCGGTGGCGAACACCGCGACGAGGGGCGGCGCGAGAATCGTCGTGACGAAAGATGGACTTCACAATATGGCGGGTGTGTCCAGCGCTATTCACAAAGGGCGCAGGACCGTCACGCTGGAAACGAACAGCGTGACCGGTGGCAGGAGGCTGCGAGCGAGCAGAGTCTACGGCGTCTGGCGGATCGGATTGAGCGACTGGAGCGGGAGAACGAAGAGCTGCGTCATCGGGTGCGGCCGTGGGAGGAGCCGCATCGGGCCCAGTGGGGGGGGGGGACCGCGGGGAGGCGGACGCGTGGGAGGATCGTCGCAGGGGATAACGGCGGGGAGATAGCGGCGTAGGCGACCAACGTAGAACGTAGGGTGCAGGCGTAGAGCAGTCGGTAATTGCAGAGTATAGGCGTCGCTAAACACCTTGGTCACCTTAAACGGCCCGATAAATCTCGGCGCGAGCTTGGACGCGCCCAAGTTCGTTACTGCTGTAGGCCGAATGCCGGCCGTGGACAAAAGGACGCAGTCGCCGACGACGAAGCGTTCCACGTTCTTACGATCGCGACGATCAGCATATTCCTTCTAACGATCGACGGCAACAGCGATGGCGTCCCGAACGTAACGTATTATAGATTCGCGGCGTTGCATGAACTCGTGCGCTGCCGCGACGTCGCGTGGACTGGGTTCCCGGTTGGGGTCGAAGCTCGCGGGTGGGGACACCGCGGAATCAGCCGCGTCAGGGACAGGTTTATACTCAATTGCACGTGGACGCTGGCGCGGGTTGATCAGCGTCCAGGAGGTCCAAGCAGTGAGGTCAGGCGATGTCGCTGGCAGAGCGACATCGTGACGGGACCGTCGTGAAGAGCACTCGGCCCCGGACGCCGCGCGCGCGGCGCTGCGTGTGAGCATCATTGGCCCGGGCGTCAGGGCGTTACAGCGCGTCGTGACACCGTTCACCGAAAGGGAAGAAGCGTCGGGAGCGTGCCCATGGTCGACCGTGGCGGGGTCGCGAACAGTTGAGCGCTCCATTCCAAGGAGTGCTGGAACTCGAGGGTGGCGTCCAAGCCCGGTACATGAATGAACCGCGTTTTGAGAGCGAATTCGACCAACGGCAAGAAGGAGGACCATGACTTGAAGGACGTGGCAAAGCTGCGCAGCACGTCTTTCAGTACCCTGTTCACCCGCTCGGTCTGACCGTCCGTCTCCGGGTGCGACGCGGTGGACAACTTCAACCGCGTCCCGACAAGCGTGAAGAGCTCCGACCAGAAAGACGCAGTGAACCGGGGATCTCGATCAGACACGATCGAGGTGGGCAGGCCGTGGTGTCGATACACGGTGTCAAAAAAAATCGCCGCGGATTGCTGCGCGGTGATCGTGGCGGCCACTGGAGCGAGATGCACCGTTTTGGTGAAGTAATCAACCAAGACAAGAATGCCGGAGCGGTTGTGGGTGTCACGGGGCAGCCCGAACACGAAGTCCATGCTAATAGAAGACCAGGACTCCAGGGCGACAGGCAGCGGCCGAAGCGGTGTCTGTTTGGACGAGTTCGGCTTCACGCGCTGACACGCCTCACAGGAGCGGACCCACTTCAGCACCCACTTGTACATGTGGGGCCAGTAGTAGTCGCGAGCCAGTGACGCGAGTGTCTTCTCGCGACCAAGGTGACCGCCACTGGGGGTATCATGGAATTCGTGAATCAGGCGAGCGCGGAGGTCGTCGTCCAGTGGAACAACGGCACGGGAAGGGTCCGACTGGTCGATGGAATAGGTAAACAGGTCCCCATCCAGCGTGTAGCGATCGACGCGGGGACAACTGACGGCGAGACGTGGCTGACGGGTCCTTCAAGTACTGGATAATCTCTGCGCATGCAGCGTCCGACGCATATGCGGACGCTATCTGATCACGAAGCGGACTGGTTGCTGTAACGGCGACCACGGCCAGCCCCGCGGCGACGCAAACTGCGCATTCATCGTCATCCTCGTCGCCAACCGCGTGGCGACCCGACTTGACGTAATCTGGCCGACGCGACAGCGCGTTGGCGAGGATGTTGGTTTTGCCAGACTTGTAGTGAACGACGAAATTGTACTCAGAGAACAAAGAGAGCCAGCGCGCCATGCGTTGGGACAGGTGAGGGCTCTTTGTTGCCGTTCGCAGCGAGGCGTGGTCCGTGTAGATGGCGAAGGTTTGCTCCCCCAGAAGGTAGGCACAGAACTTGATTAACGCGTAGCGCATGGCCAGCGGCTCTTTGTCGTGGACGGATAGTTGCGTTCCGCCGACTTCAACTGACGCGACTGGTAGCTCACCACACGTTCGCGTCCAGCCTCGTCGAACTGCATCAGAGCGCAGCCAATAGCGAAGTCGCTCGCATCGCAGACAACGTGGAAGGGTCTGGAGTGGTCAGGCAGCATGAGGACGGGCGCTGTGGACAAGCTCGTCTTCACAGCGCCAAACGCGGCTTGACGCTCAGGACGCCACGACCACGTGGTGTCAGACTTGAGGAGTTGCGACAGTGGATGAACGGTCGCCGCGAAGTTCTTCTAGTAGTGGTGGAGATACGTCGCAAGTCCCAACCACTGACGAAGTTGCTTCTGATCCTGCGGCGCCGGCCAAGCGCAGATGGCTGCGACCTTCCCCGGATCAGCGCGGACGCCATCCTTGCTGACGTAGCTCCCGAGTACAGGGATCTCGGGAGCGCAGAAGATGCATTTCTTCAAATTGGCGTACAACTTGTTTTCTCGCATCACCTCGAACACCTGACGAAGGTGCCGCAAGTGTGCTTCCACGTCCGTCGTGCCGCCCTCGGCACGACTGTGAATGAAGATATCGTCGAAGTAGCTGGGTGCGAAGTCTCGGAATGGCCGCAGAAGGTTCGAGACCATTCGATTGAAGGTGGCAGGGGCGTTCTTCAGCCCCTGCGGCATGACAAGCCATTCCCAGAGCATGCCGCTGGGTGTGCTGACAGCAGTCAGCGGCACGTCGTCTTCACGCATCAAGATCTGGTAGAAGCCATCCATCAAATCAATGGCGCTGTACTTGGTGCTGCCGGGCATGGTGTCGAGCACCATGTCTTTCCGGGGAAGCGGCGTTTGGGCCGGAATAGTGGCGTCGTTGGGCTTGTTGAAGGCATGGACGATGCGCCAACCGCCAGTCGCTTTCTTCACGCAGAAGGTCGGACTGGAATGTGGCGATAGCCTCTCGCGTACATGACCAGTAAGCAGGCGGCCTTCGAAAAAGGCGTCGATCACTTCAACTTGATCGCGCAGAAGCGGCCATTGTCGGGCCACACAATACTTCGAGCCGGGCACGAGATTGATCTCGTGCCGGACACCACGGTCAGGAGGGAATGCGGCTGGGACCTTGTCGGGGATTCGCGAACAAGAGGAGCAACGGGGTTGCCGGCGGCCTCAAGCGCCGGCAATGATTGGGCGGCATAGCGCCCTTCCCGGGGGCTTTTCGGTTCCGCCTCGCTGGGGCGTATTGCACCGACGGACGTGGATGTCGCGGACTCAGTCTCGACTGCTGCGATGGCAGACGTGTCGGCCGCGACGACCATGCAGACTTGCTCAATTTCGCCGTGTTTGAAATCGCGGAGGAAATGCTTCCACAACAGCCCAAGTAAACGTGTGATCTCAGCCGCATCGCAAGGAGGCCGTGCAACCTTGATGTTGTGGGCTCGTGGAGTCGCATCGGTGGGGTTGCTCATCAGGACAGAGATGACCTCGGACTCCACGACATCAGAGTCTGTTGACGCCGGCCGAGGTCGGCGCGGGTTCCGATGACCACGACGACGCACCGGACGTTGTTCTCCGGGCACAGCAGACAACGAGAGACCATTCTCGATCGTTTCAACAGGGTTTGGGCGCCGGGGCTCGGTTTCGGCGCCGAGGCACGGGACACTCGAGTCGACCGTGAATTCTTCTCCAGGGAACTCCCGCTCGACCACACGCGGGAGCACGCGCTCGACCGCTGGTGGGAGACCACGCTCAACCTCGTCTTCTGGGTGTGAGAGTTCCCGCTCGACTACACGCGCGAATCCATGCTCAACCGCGTGTAGGAGGCCATTCTCAAATTCAACGTCTTCATCAGGAAGCCGTTTCTCACGGCGACACGGGAACTCATGCTCGACCGCGTCAGATATGTCCTGAGACTCCACCTCAGGACTGGTACATGTTGCGCGTTCACAAGCTACACAAGAAGCGCCATCGCGCTCTTCGGGGGCAGTGGTCGTCATGGAGCCGGGGTCCATGACAGCAATATGCGGCTACTGGTTAGGCATCCCGCTCAGGGATGTAAGCACAGCGTTTACGTCGATGTCACGCGGGCGGACAGTTCGCGTGAGCCAGTTAACGCGAGGTTGGTGACGAGCGAGCCACGGGATCCCGAACACACAGTCAAAGGAGCCACTCAATTCAATCACCAGGAAGGCATCCGTTCCCTGGAATCCATCGAACGCGTAGGAGAAGGTGACCAAGCGCCGCGGAAGTCACCGTGGCTTGCCGTCTGCGTACTTGACGACCATATCGCCAGGACCTTCACTTACGGGCATGTACGCTGGTAACACCGACAAACGCTTGGCGCAAACGAAGTTGTTCGTCGCGCCTGAATCCAGCAGAGCACGGATGGGGCGCTGGGCTCCCTCAACGTGAAGACTGAGCACGGTCATTCTTGAGTCACTGCCGGAGGCGGCGGCTGATAGGTGTGCGTGAAGTACAGGAGGGCTAGGAGGAGGTTCTGCCACCATAGAACCATCCCCCGTTCCAGAACCAGTAGGGTGCCCCCCGCCTACTGGTCGTCGCCGTTTTTTTGCTCGGGTGGCAACGGCGACGTCGTGCTGGGTTGTAACATTCGCCACAACAGGGGCAGGCGCGCGGCAAACAGCCGCGCGGTGACCGAATTTCTTGAATCGAAAGCAACGCAGCGGGCGAGGCGCGCGAGCTGAAGAGCCGGATGAATTGGATGACGTCGGCTCCTGACGTCTGCCATAGTGCTGGATCGCATCCACCTCCATGGGTTCCGGTTCGTGTTCGTGAGCCAAAGGCCTCGAGACATCGAACGCTTGCGATGCCGTGACGCTGTAGTCTTCGCGTAACGCAACCGCGAAGGCCTCTTCGAGCATGTTCGGGGGTTTCCGCGTCAAATAGAAACGCTGGTAGCCAGCGTTCATTCCCGAGACGAAGACGTGGACTTGAGTCGCCATGTCCACTGGGTGGGTCGTGATGCACGAGACAAGGTGATGAGTGCGTTGGATATACTCGAGCATGGACGTGCGTCCCTGCTTCAGCGACAGGAAAGCGGACCGCTGGACGTTCTCACCTTGAGGCGGCTCAACCCCCCAGCTTGGAGAGAAGGAACCGAGTCCGCGCAAGCTCGGTGGACAACTGCCGAGCTTCAACAGCGATGTCCACCTCGCAGAACCATCGGTTCAAGTGAAGGCAACCGTCGCATTCAGCGTTGTAGAGACGTCGAGCTTGACGATGTCGGTCTTGTTCTTGGGCGGCGTGGGAGTCGACACTCGCTGACGGAGGTCAGCGAGTTCACGCTCCATGAACTCCTGGGCGGCCAGGCGTTGTTGGTTCTCAGTGCCGGCCGCCAGCAATGTCTGGATGGCAGCATCGCCGGATGCAGCGGCGAGACGATGCAACGCCTCCCACTCGATCGAGGACAAGTGAGGGAAACTGGCGTGTTCCAGTGATATGTTGGACACGCTGGACGCGTCGCTCATCGACGTGTCGTTCATGCTGATCTTGAACGCTGGACGGATTACGAAGTGCTACCAGGTGTAACGGGCTCAGACCGTTACCGACATACACTAGCGAACTGGGAAGGTGTTGGTAGATTAGACTCTGAAGGTTACCTATCGAGACGGCCTCGGCACACGACCCCGTCACAACCAGTGGATACGTATATAGTTCTGATTGGCCACCGCGATGGAGCGGTGGCGACATTGTGTGACGGTAGCCTGTCACATGCTCCAGAGGGATGAAGGCCAACGTAGTTCGATGGAGTGATCGAGAGAACGTCTAAATTAAGGAAATGTCGTATGGCTATGAAAATTGGTACATCACTACTGTATATGAAATTGCGATGTTTGAGCTTGCGATCAATTCTAGATCGCCAACAGCGAGCATGCCAAGTTCCCGGATGGAAAACCTGCTAACTATTTCTTTTTTACGGACCTCTAAATGGCAACAGTGGCAAGAACTGGATCAAATATCCAGCTCTTTCGCCCATATTATGTCAAGATGGGAAACGTTGTCAAAAGCGATTGCCTTGTCAATCCTTGTCGGAGATGTCGTTTTCAACAACTCATTGCGATCTTCCACTCAAGTATATGAAACAAGAGCTAATCGTGACCGTCTCACCTTGCGTTGACCTTTGCGATGATGTATAATTAAGACCTAAGACCGGATCCATTAAATTGCTCACCGTACAGAATTAGTCGGAATGGCGGGTTCTTACAGGCATTGCGAGTTAATAAAGAAATAATATTAAAGATTTTGGCTATTTGTTGTACTCTCAAGGAGTTGCTGTAGCAGCTTCGCCAGAGCAAATGCTGCGGCTGTGAAGCAGGCGTAGGAGAGGCGCCGACGAAGGAACGCCAAAAAGCAGAAACGTATGCGAATGAATTTTTGCTAAATTTCAGAACTTCTTCGGGGGAAGCACGACTGTGTAATCCAAGTAAAAAGTCTCACTCTAGAGTCTAGAGTATGAACGTTTCATTATACGGGTGCTTTGCCCCCAATGCAGACATCGTCTTTGGTACTGGGTCGTTGCTGCGCATTCGCAGCCCACATGCCCATTCTTTAAGTTCTACATATATCTTCCGTTATAATGTGACGGAAACTCACCATTTCGTCTTCCTTTTTACTAGTAGCACGCTGCAAATGCATCGTCGATCGCAGTCCAGCGTCAGGATGGGACGTCGGACCGTAGCGCCATATATCATTTTCTCTTTCCGTCGGCAAAGGCAATCAACCTAACGTAAAGCACTCGATTGAAAGCAAAAAAAAAAACATCATATAATCTTAGCAGTTTATCTCACACCTACGCCATCTTCAGCGTCTTCAGTGCTTCCATCAAGACGAAAAACTCGACAATTACGTAACTTCACTGCGATTTTATCTCTTCTGTGGCCCCTTCTCGGTCCGTTCGATCCATTCCGAGTGTGTGTGGAGTCTCCCTCTCTTCAGTCAAGTAACATGCGCGTCTTCCTCTTGACTATCACACCGTCAGTCTCTTAGTACTTGGGTGGGGGGTACTGCTGAGGAGGATACTGTCCCGGGGGGTATTGCTGCGGCGGGTACTGGTGGTACTCTCCAGGGGGAGGTGCGTAACCCTGCGGGGGCGGAGCGTAACCCGGGTGTCCAGGAGGCGGGCCGTAACCCGGCTGTTGCTGCACAACCACGGGCTGAACGTATACAGGCTGCTGGTTGTGGTAGTCGCCAGAGTAGCGGCCGTTGCGGCGGCGGTCGTCGCCCGAGTCCGCGGCGGAGGCACAGCAGGCGCCACAGAGGGCACCGCACAGGCAGCACTCGAGCATATCGCACTCGTCTTCCATCTCGCTTGTCTTGTTAAACTGTAGGGGGGCTTGAGTCCGAGGACGGAAAACTGGAAATGAATTTCCACTGCGTGGCCTAACGCTGTTGCCGAAACAAATTAGACTCGAGTTCAGTATGGCGAGGTAGTCAGTTTCATCGTGGTGCAAAAACACCGAACTCGTGTCGATTCGAAAAGAGGTTTTGACCAATGGGAAGCTAGGAAAAGTGCCGAAGCATCCCTGTCCATCATCAGATGAAAATCCAGGTCAAGGTGTAGGCCAGACTACCTAGTCGGTAGTGCTGCTGGCTGGCTTAGCTTTGATGCTAGATAGGAACATCCTGTAGAGTTCTCTCGTATGACGATGTGAGCGCTTGATCGTAGAGCTCGCCGTTTATGGCGTAGGTAAACTGCTCACGTGCATGTACAGTTGTTGCGTGCGTCGAGCATTTTCCACTCGAGGGGGCGATAGATCGAAAACGCCAATTGTGCCGGTCGCAACCATTTCAGTAGTGCGTGTTCTCAGGCAGGAAGCCTGTCAACCACGTGTATCGCATCGAGCAAAGCCACATAGCGTTCATCAACCCTGCGCCGGTCTCAAGTGCAGCTGAAGATCTTCAGCAGTCGCTGCGAAAAATCCACTCGGCATGGATACATCGATAAGAATGAGAACTGAGGATGGCTACGCGTTTACACGTAGGGTGTGCATGGACTCAAAACTACCTACGCCCTACTTGATAAAGAGGGGCGCGACACACGCATTCTCCCAGCGCACAACCGTCATGATGAGCTCGAGCATCCAGTGGGCCGCAAAGTTCATGACACCGGCGCCAATAGATCCACCGAACGAGATCTCGCAGCCCGTGAGCATACCGTTCGCATCAGGCACACGAGACAGCGTCGTCCAATGGAAGAGATCGATCCACGCCTCTCCCTCCCCCAGAGCCTGTTGGATCCCGGGCGCCGGAATGGTGCGGAAACACACCGTGTAGCCATTGGCAGTCTGCAGGCGAAACAACAGGTACACCGTGTGGAAACTGCGCCCCATTTCGCGATAGTTGGTGTGGCGACGCACCACCAGCGCGTCGCGGTTCACCACCTGCAAAATCTCGAGATCTAGACCCACTTTGGACGAAAACACCACTCGGCGCATGAACTCCAGGTCCGAAAAAGTGCGCCAAGACTCCTCCATGAGCCTCTCGCAACTCTGGTCTTCGAACAATTTGCGGAAGCAGAAAACCATTTTAGACTCGTCGTCGTCCAGACGGCGACGATCACTCCAGCCAAAGAGTGATGATCCCGTCGTAACGAAGTCTTGACCCGCTTCGAACCGCGTGATGACGTCGTACGAGTCGCGCATGATGGCAAAGCACGTTTCATGTGCCAGTGGCTCGAAGTGCGCATGGTACACGGTGTTCAACCTCGGATCACTGTCCGAGCCAGTGAACTCGGCAGCGAGCGCTTGGAACGAGTCACGGAAAAGTTGTTGCACGTTCAGGATTTTGTGTAGCTGTTTCTGTTCCTTACGCAGTGCTGCGGCTTCAGACGAGAGACGCAGGAATTTCTTACGCAATGCCTGCACCTGCGTCGGGTCCAACAGGATGCCACGCTCGTGCTGGTCGGTGTCACTAGCGTCTTCTTCCGACGTGGCGTCACTCGACGCATTTGCACCGCGAGACGCCAGTCGCAAATACTCGCGCTCGAGTGCCTTCACCTCGTCTCGCATCACCTTGATCGAGCCCTGCAACAGCGTTAGAACCGACTTAGCTCCATGTTTGTTGCCTTTACTTAAACGTAGCGAACCTGTCGCCGCTGGCGCGACTTCTTCTCAATCTCGGAGCGGCGCGCGCGTTGCGTGGCATTTGCATTGGCATCTGCGGATTTGCCGCTCCTCTTTTTGGCAGGTTTTTGCGTCTGGTTGGTGGCGGAAAGACCCAAAATGTTGTCTACTTCGTTTTCCAGCAGTTGCGACTGAGTGGCGACTTCCATCGAGGGATCTGGCCTCGCACACCGAAAAAAAAAAAAAAAAAAAAAACAGTTGCAGCGAGATGAGCCCGTCACGTTGGACCATTTGCACATTGACTGCAGCGACTGCAACGTACATGTTTCGCCTGATCTTGACAAACGATCGGCCGGCGCACAGAGAGCAGCAGTCGCTTGACTTTGACCTGCGTTTTGCGAATTGCGTCATCGGAAGCTGGCAGGGAGCGAAGAAGACTGGCACTCTTCGCCTTGTGATTGGATGAAACACCGGGCACGCGCAACAGGACCCGCACGTGATGAGTGGACTGATGCTGCAGGAAGTTGGCAAGGTGCAACTGGTAACATTGCGGGATACAGACGATCCCCTCGGTAGTCATAGCGCAAATTTACTCCTGTCTAAGTATATTCCCTATCCACGAATGTACCACAAAAATGGATCCGAGTACCTTCAGCTTGGAACAGTACACAAAATATACGCTTGCTCTCCTATTGCCAGTTTTGCATCACCACACTAAGATACCCTCCTCTCTAGCCCAGCCAGTCCACCTTACACTCAACGACTGCTGTACAATAAGCTAGCACAGCTCACATCCCTACCTTGTCCCAAATAGAGCTAGATCCATGGGCTCACAGAATCTACGGTCTTCCTCTGGTTCATTACAAACAACGATCTGGAAGCTATTGATGCGCAGAAAAGCACTGGACTAACTTCCGGTCTCGCAGTTGGCCACAAGACGCGGCACGAGGAGTGCACCAGTCTACACCCGACCAGGTATGTGCCAATTGGTTTTCGTGGAGTGAAGAGGGTGTTGCCGTCACAGGTGTGCAATTAGAGTGAAGGTTGAGCACTTTTCCGTGATCCATGTCCAAAGTAGTCAAAAGAATAGGCTTCATGGGCTCAACACTCGGATCGGACTTGGCAGCAATAATGCTCTTGTGTAGTTATGACTGTTTCCATAGTTAAGAACCCCATAATAGGAATATTCGTTCAAATGTATTTCCATTTTACGATTGAGGGGGACCATGCAACAATTGGATTTTTAGTTAGAGTTCATGAAAGTGTCATTGGAAAAGTTGACGCTGATCACACGCACTTGAGGAAGAGTGGGGCCACGCACATGTTCTCCCAGCGCAGCACGGACATGACCAGCTCGAACAGCCAGTACTTGGACACGAGTTGCTTCACGTCGGCAATATAGCCGCCGGTCGAGATATCACACCCTGCGGGCTGGCCGCCCTCGTCAAAGGCGTGGTTAAAATGAGTCCTAATGTCAAAAAAAAAAAAACAAAATTAGATGAAAAAGTTACATCACAAATACTGGCGAGACGTACCAGTGGAAAACGTCATAGTAGAACTCATGCGGTTCCAAGGCGTCCTTCAGTTCGGGAGCAGGAATTGTCCGCATACACAGCGTGTAACCTGTAGGCGTTTGCAGTCGAAACACGATATGCACTGTGACGAAATTTAGTGGCAAATGAGGAAACTTGTGGTCTCGCCGGATGATGCAGAGGTCGTCGCCCAGTGTCTGAACGATCTGGAACCGAGTAATGACCGACGCATTGAACGATAAATGCGCCATGGTGTCGGCATGGCAAAAAACGTCCCACGTCTGCATGAGCAGCTTTTCAGCGCTTTCGAGTGGGAAAGTCTTGGCAAAGCCGTACTGTAGCGCTCGTGTCTCGTCGTATTTGCGTTTGTCTGTCCAGCCCATGAAATTCGCACCGGTCGACACAAAGTGTCCGCCATCGTCGAAGCGTTTGATAGTTTCGTATGTCTCGCGAACCAGCTCGTAGCATTCCGCTGGCGAGCGTTGGCGTATCTGCACTGCAAACGACGAACTTGGAGGCACTCCCGTGTCCCAAACGAGATCGTCCTTGTTCGGGTTCGCTAGGGTTTCCCGACGACTGGTACCTCTTTTTGCCATTGCCTCTGCCGTGCGTTGAAACACTTCGTGGCTCTCTAGCAGCTTCAACATCTTCGCGCGATCTTCCTCGAGCGCCTGTGTAACAAGCGACAACTGCGAGTACTTGTGTTGCAACGTGGCATTCTTGGGCGTCAAAGCCCCACTTTGCCGCTTTGCCATCTCCGCGTACACATTTTCCAGCTGCTTGACCTCCTGGCGCATGCGTCGGAGCACATTTTGCCTCCTTTGTCTCGATTTTTTCTCGATCGCTGAGCGTCGAGCTCTTCTGGCCTCTGGCGAGTCTCCTGCACCTGTTTTGGTCTCACTTGGACTCATAGTCGTCAGCTCCTCGTGCCACTCAGCAGTCATCGCCTCCAAATTGGGTGAAGACAGTTCCGACGGCGAGGTCCATGGCGCCGGACTCGCTTCACTTTGACTGACTGTATTGTCCCCCTCTTCGTCGGCGATGGCGTCGAAGAACGCGCGCTGCATCGTCGGTGACAGAGGCGGCAGCGTCTCCATTAAGTCAAGCGGGGCGGTCTTATCGTCCTCTTCATGCAGCACAGAAGCCATCACTCTTTCCTTTTCAGCAACTCGGAGAGTGATGGTGCTCTCTAGTGCGTGACGATATGACGCTCATTTGGGGATGACGGCGGACCTTTTTATCCTAAACTGGAGAAAAAGTGTTGCTCGAAAGATGCTGGTAGGCAAATTGGCAGTAGATTTTGTCGCTGGGGCGGAACCCAACAACGATAAATTGTGTACTACGCAGTAGTAAGTTTCTAATCCTAATGAGTGTGGCTAAAAGTGCTTTAGGAACAGCGGCGCGACGCACGCTGTTTCCCAGCGCAGAATGGAGCACACGAGTTCGAACAGCCAGTACGTGGACTTCAGCTGGTTCTGATCGGCAATGGAGCCTGCAGCAACGATCTCGCATCCTGCAGGATTGCCAAACTCATCATACACTCGATTGAAATGGGTCCTGCAAAAAAAAAAATCAAACGCACAAAAAATGTCAAAAAAAAAAAAAATCAACCCATTAAAAAAACTGCAACCTTCGTACCAGTGGTAAACCTCGTAGAAATACTCGTGTTGGTCCTGAACGCCTTGGATTTCCGGTGCAGGAATCGTACGCATGCACAGTGTATAACCTGTAGGCGTCTGCAGGCGGAAAATAATCTGCACCGTGGCGAATGTGATCTCAATATTCGGGATCCTGTGATCCCGTCGGACGATGCGCAGGTCGTCATTCATCTGTTGCAACACTTCGTACCGAGTGTTGACAGACCTGTCAAACGACATGTCCTTGAATTTAGAGGCGTCCAAGAAAATATCCCAAGTCTTCATGAGTAAACCCTCTGGACTTTCACGCGGGAATTTCTTGGTAAATGCATACTGAAGCGACCCTGTCCTCGAGTCGTATTTCCTTTTATCTGTCCAGCCCATGAAGTTCGCTCCTGTCGTTTCAAAGTGTTCCGCGTCGTTAAATCTCTGGATCTCCTCGTACGACTCGCGTACCAATGCGTAACATTCTGCCATCGTCAGCGTCCTAAATCTCGCCTTAAATGACGCGCTGGGCGGCACTCCAGTGTCCCAGATGCAGCTCCTCTCCTCCATGTCTTCGTCCGACAAGCTCCTGACCGCCTTTTGGAACTCTTCGTGTTGTTGCAGCAGCTTTTGCAGCTCTTCCTGGTCTTCCTCGAGTGCATGCGCGACCAGAGTCAGCTCGGAGTATTTCTGTTGCAACTCGTCCATAGTTGCACTCTTTCCCCGGCAAATTTGTGTCTGTTTCTCTAAATCGCTGGACCAAAGTCCTGCCTCCTTCTGGCTGGCCATGTCGGCGTACATTTTCTCGAGTTGCTTGACTTCCTCCCTCATCTTTTTGAGGACATTTTGCCGCCTCTGTCTCGACTTTTTCTCGATGGCTGAGCGTCTGGCACGCTTGGCTTCGGCTGCGTCTTTTGCTGTTTGTTTCTTTGTGCCACTCGGGCTCATGCTGCGGATCTCGCTCTTGTGCTTCTGCTGATTGTCGGGCGACGGCGACGAGGCCGCGTGCTTCTTCGTGACCAGCGCGTCGTCGTCACTGGCCGGCCACTGCGGCTGTAGAGCCTCCTCCAGTTTAATGACAGTGGCGTCCTCGCTCTTCTCGAGCTCTGACATATCCGCGAAGGCCTCCGAGAAGGCACGCTCCATGGTAGGAGACAGCGGCGGCAGCGCCGTGAGCTCCAGCGGGTCCAGCAGGTCCGCACTTGTCGTCGACATGGCAGGAGTGATGGTGATCGAGTGGGGAATTGTCTAAAACACTTTGACGTCGGTCCGGCTTTTCAGACTGGCGCCAGAGGGAAAGTGCCCGAAGGAATGGGAGCAAATGTGTCAAGTCACTTGACTCAAGTGGCCGGCTGAGACGAAAAATTTGATGCAGCTTTTTTTTTTTAGAGTGGACACATTTCAGATTGGGAGTATGACGACCGCGGGCTGGCTGAAAGCTGGATTGCAATGCATGAGGCAGAGTGCTGAGTAGGTGACGACATTGCCTATAAGTTATTGATGGAGTTGGCACTTGACAGCGCTCCCAAAAAGTTTTTCATGTAAATGGCAGTGAGGTCATCGTCAGACCAGCCAGTCGTAATTTTTGCTGTTCTCAAGTGTTCAACAAGTGGATCACCCTTCCGATTTGTGCAAGACGTGCCAAGCAATACGATCACCGAAGAAACAGTATTCGTCTTTTAGACTGAAGTTCAGCCGCTGAAGCAGCCTTTGGTATCAACTCGTTGGTTACGTTTTGGAGAATATGGTCCGTTTTGTTAATGAACTGCCATAATCCATCGTTGAAAAGATGAGAGTATTCTTATCTTACTAAATTTAAAAAAATAGTATTAATAAAGTATTCTCACCTTTAAATTAGGTCATTTGGGAATTGATTGCACATCTTCGAAAACCTCCCTCTCAGAGGGGGGTCGTCATGGACCATGACTCGTGGTACTGGTGAAGTACAGACTGTACTGTACTGTACAATACGAGAAAAAAAAATGTATGTTCACAAGGAATGTATGTAGTACGATACTAGGACCTTATCCCACATGGACATGCTGGTGCAGACTTCTGTCGCCGCTTGGGTGTTCAGCACTAGCTTTTTACGACGGAGAGTTTGTAATGAATGTAATGTACTCGTGGATGTTGCATTTACGCATGTGTACCTCTTCAGATTCCTTAAAAATATTTCCTAAAAAGATGGGTGTTCGGTATGGTGGCAGGGAAGCAATAAGCCATGCAAAGTATTTATTAGCCCTACTTAGGCCCAGCAAACACTGTGTGAGTGGTGGCAATGGTGCAGCTTGTAGTAATCGATCCATTAAAAAAAGCAAAGGGCAAAACGGTTCGGCGTTCTGGTCTTCCTGAAATGTGTGACTTTGAGTTCAATTATGTATTTGAAAATGAGGTCTCACGGTAAACTACCAATACCAAATACGTAGATGCTGTAGTATCACGCGTGTATGCTGGATAGGCACTTGTAAAATTGGATAGGTTTTATGTCCACGCACATATATGTAGCATCGGGCGATCCATGCCCTGAATTTCACTCATATCTTTCGTTGACTCATAAGGTGAGTCAACATGTAAATATCTATAAAGCATATGGATAAGTCAAATGATATCGGCACCTAATAGAGGCTTGGAATATAATACCCTGAACGAAAGGTTTACGGGTGCTGGACCTCAAACGTACGATGGCTTTATTGTGTCCGAATTAAAAACACCGGAGCAATGGTTAAGCTCTCCCAGCGCAAAACCGAGCACACGATCTCGAATAGCCAGTAATCCGACTTAAGACGATTGTGATCATTGATAGATCCGGCCGTCACGATCTCGCACCCTGCAGGCTCGTCGTATTCGTTATACAACCGGTTAAAATGTGTCCTATAAAACAAGCGGAAAAAGTTAGAAATTGAACAGCAACACGAGCCTTCAGCTGGCTAGCTTACCAGTGGAAAACGTCGATCAAATATTCGTGTGGCTCAAGTAAATTCGTGATTTCTGGCGACGAGATCGAGCGGATACACAACGTGTAACCTGTAGTAGTTTGCAAGCGAAACAATACCTGGACCGAGGTGAAGGTCATTGGAAACCTTGGCATTCGGTGGTCTCGACGGATGATCAGCAAGTCATCGTTCAGTACCTGCAGCACCTCGAAGCGACTCTGAACAGAATTATCAAATGCCAGGTTCTCCAACTTTGGGCCATCCAAAAATGAGTTCCAGCTCTTCGTGAAGACGTGTTGTGGGTCCTCGAATGGAAAATGCTTGGTAAAACTGTACTGCAAAGCTTGCGAGTTCTGGTCGAACTTGCGTTTATCAGTCCATCCCATAAAACTTGCCCCTGTAGTGTCGAAGTCTTCACTTTCGGTAAATTTCTGGATCTCTTCGTAGGATTCGCGTACAAGGGCATAGCCCTCTGCAATCGAAAGAGGACGGAACTTGGCAGCGAAAGAAGAGCTCGGAGGTACACCACTATCCCAAATTGCGAAAGTATCTGCTTGGGTTTCCTCTAACAGACTACTGACGGTTCGATTAAAGTTTTTGTGTTCTTGTAGGAGATTCTGAAGAACTACTTGATCTTGCGAGAGAGCATGTGCCACCAGCGTAAGCTCCGAGTATTTTTGCTGCAACTCGTTCAAATTTGCAGTAGTTGCATCCCCGAGGCTTTGCCATTGTACCAGGCTGAAAAGGGCTCCAACTTCATTCCGTTTTTCCATTTCTGAGTACATTTCCTCCAACCGCTTGACTTCCTCTCGCATACTTTTAAGGATTCCCTGTCTTCGTTGCCTTGATTTCTTCTCAATAGCCGAACGTCGTGCTCGTTTCGCTTCAGCAGCGTCTTTAATACAGGCAGTGTCTTTGTCACTTGGGCTCAAACCTCCGATTTCGTCCACGTATTTTGCCGACGGCACTCCTGAAGGAGGAGGTGTTGCGAAGCGGACATCCATTGACGGCACCTGTTCTTCAGTCTCTGGTTTCGACTGCTGCTCCACGGTCTCTAATATGACCACAACAGAGAGATCGCCGCCACTCGCTTCCATCCGTGGAATGCTGGCAAAGCTTGAGTAGACGCAATCTATTGTGGACGAAAACGGCGGATTCGACTGGTCCAACGGCTTGAAAGCCTACGTCAATTGTTGCGGATACAACGCTAATTCGCAATGAAACGTGCGAAGCACTGCGGAAAATCGCGGATAGAGAGCAACTGCGAAAAACGACAATTGTCACCGAGGATGAGGGACATCTGCCACGCGTGTGTGGTTGGCAGCCAACTTGGCTATCCAAGTCACTTGTAACGCGCTCGAGAGGTTTTGAGTTCTGGGCGTGGCCAATTCAAATAGTCGATGCAAGTACCACCAACACTGTGACCTATGAATAACGTGATTGTGACCTACCGTGCAAAATCTTGGTAGAGCGCGCTTGACAACTACGGTACATGTACTTCGACAGTATCCTCATAAAAGAACTGGGGTCTCCGACGACAAATAACTTACGCGATCACAGTCGCCGTAAGTTCAACGATCAAGTAGATTCGTTTTCTTTGCGAATGCAAATTGCGTTAACACCACTTGGCCGAATGCTTCGAGTCTTCGGCGACAACGTCCTGTCGGCATGATAATATCTTACTGCCCCAAAGAGTTAAATGTAAAACGAAAGTCATTGGCAGGAATAAATAAACCGCTCCAGTGCCCGTTCGTTCCTGTAATACTCCACACACACCCTGGAGCTGCTTCTACTCTTCTCCCCTCTAACGAAACTCGATCAGCTAAAACTCGAGAGGATTGGCACCGTATGCGATGGACCACAAAGTTACGACAGACTATACCCGGCTGCTCGGGAATGCGAACGTCAAGGTAGCCAAATTCCTTCAAGACCACGCTATCTTAGCAAAAAGACTGACTGGTTGGACGAGTCACTGTAGGTATATGTTCGAGCGAGGCCATGCGCTGACGGTCAAAATGCCCCCGAAGACATGTTCGAAAGGAAGAAGGAAACTCCGAACAATATTGTGATCAAGGTACTGAATTTGTAGAGCATGATCGACCTCTATTGGTTGTTCAGTACTTAAGTATGGATTTGTGTTGCGTAGGACACGGAACGAATGCAATATGGAAATCACGCTTTCAGCTTCGACAACGTAGGGCGGAGACGGTAGTCGCAGATGGGATTACTTCGGTTGTTTGGCTAACGTCAAGTTTTTTTTTTTGCTAAACTGCAACAGATTTATTGGACGGATACAACTCAAGAAACTTTGTTTGAAGCGGTAGGAAATTGCAATGTAGTTTTAATAGCTGCGCTGTGTTTAATCAATTCCGTGTATCCTCTGTCTTGTAGACGAGCAAATGTTTGGTAGACTACGCTTTGAAGGGCATCAATAGTTGCTGCTTCGCCTATGGACAGACAGGATCAGGCAAGACTTTCAGGTAAATAACAAAACACAAGCTCACTTGTTGGAAATTATGTTAAAGTTGGCGTTGCTGTTAATGATGAAGCATTTTCGGAGAACAAGGAGGAGAAAAAGTCGGATTACTTTCAAGGTCGATTGAGTATCTCTTCGACATGATAAATCGTCAACAGAGCAAAGCCAAGGTGCGTGTGATCTTCTTTGATTTTTTTTCTATCACATTTTTTACTAAATCAAAAATGTCGCTTTGTAGGAAGTGACGCTGGTTGTCAGCTTTCTCGAAATCTACTGCGATCGTGTCCGCGATCTTGCACGAGCGTATGTGAAAACGTGTACGTCATACCATCGTTTACTAACAAACTATGCAGTTATCTCAAGAAAACTGGAAGGCCTGTATCGTACCAGACGTCCAGCAGTACCGAATGGTTTCTTCGTCAAGTAAGCTAAAATACTCCCGGAAGTTATATATGAGTTGTTTTACGAGAACGTGATCCAATGCATGATTCGAGCAGCAACAGCAACTGATTCCCCGGACCGAGAGCGCGACAAGGTATGTTTCGTAGCATAGTGTCTGAGTTTTACATTTCTCCTAAACAACTGTCTGTCGCAACACAGTTTCAGCTCAAACCCACCAAAAGTGGAAGAAGACTATGATTACGAAAAAGGTAAAAAAAAAAAAAAAAAAAAAAAAAAAAAAGCGGCATTGTATCGTATCTAGTTCTGATCGTGTGCGGTTGGTTATGCATTTTCAAGCAAATTTTGAAATTCACGAGGATGCTCAAGGCCGGGTGTTTGTGAAAGATTTATCCATGGTCACCGTAACCTCAAGGGAAGAGGTGGATGCTATCGTACAATGCGGATTGAAATTGCGGTCTACACACGAAACAAAAATGAATGCTGTGTCGTCACGCTCGCACACGGTGTTCACCATCCACGTTTTCCAGCAAGGTGCTGTTACAACTCGTTGTTGTTTTCTACCACGTAATTAACATGATTTGTTTTTTTCGAAGCACGGGATTCTGAAGAGGTGATTTACGGAATGCTTAACATGGTTGATCTAGCCGGGTGCGTTCATCGATACACAGTACAAGATTTGTTGATTATTTATCACTACTTTCTTATCTGCTGTAGGTCTGAACGTTTAAAGAAAAGCGAGTCGGACGGCCAGCGATTGAAGGAGGCACTACATATTAACTCGAGCTTAAGCGCTGTAGGCAAGGTTGTGATGTCGCTGGATCCAGAGAGCGGCTATAACTACATCCCTTATCGAGACTCAAAGCTTACACGTCTGCTGCAGAATAGTATTGGTTCGCTTATGTCAACCAATAAGGTTTCGTCACTGTGACGCTGCTCTACTAACGTATGTTGCGATGTGTATATGCTTACAGGAGGCAACTGTTTTACCACTCTCATTGCAACTATCCACCCGATGAAAGAGCACTACGAAGAGTGTTTGGGGACTCTGCAATTTGCTAACCGATGTCGATCCGTACAGAATCAGGTGACACATTCAAATGCCGAATTGCATAGTGTATCTTAGTCAACTCTAATGCAACATTTCCGTTTGTTAGCCTCGCGTCAACCACATCAATGGTACTATTGCAGACAAAGATCGGCGCATTCGTAAGCTTCAAGAGGAATTAAGCATCGTGCGCCGGCAGCTCGAGGGTTTGCGAACTGAATACAACAACAGATTCGTTGCCACACTGAACGAACTCGGTTTCCAGGCCGAAGAGATATCGGAGAACGGCGAAATTAAATTTGCGGTGCGTTGTCGAAAATTCTCCGATGATTTAGAAACCACAGTGTTGACAAGCTGTACATATCTGTAGGATGGTATGGTGCTGAAGTCTGTATTCGCTGATGAAACCAACGGACAAGGTGGTGCGGATTCGGGCGCGATTTTCAAGAGCAAGCACCACGGTACTACAGGTCATGCCCAAAATTTGCTAAAAGCAAATGGTACGTTCGAAAACATAAATGTACTAGACCTCGGTTATCACTGATTTCCACATTTTTTTATGAAAAGCGATAGAAACTCGGAACGATAGAGATCGTTTACGCCAGAAATATGCCAATGCAAAAAGTAATTTTGCTGTGGTTGTGGTGAGTACTTGGAATGTTGATACCTTTTTGATATAGATCTAATGAGCATCATCGTCGTCGTTTTCTAGACTGAAGCCAATAAGGAAAAGGAGAATGCTCGACGAACAATTAACGAACAGAAGCGAAGGATTGCCACGTTAGAGAGTTGTTTACAGCAGAAAACGAGTGAGTATGATCGCGCTTTGGCATCCGAGGCGGTGCGACATCGAGAAGAAATGCAGGCACTTCTTCGGCGAAACAACCAGACGAATACCAGTTTTGACGCTAAGTCTCTCAGTTATCAACAATCCTTCATCAACCCGCTAGGTGAGGATTGCGAAAACTCAAGAGATCGAGAGAAGCAGTTCGAGCAGGTGGGATTGTTCACTACTTCAAGTATTGTGCTTTTCAGAATTCCAAGTAATATGCAACTTATGTGTTTTGTTATGATTCAGAAACTACAACACCGAGTGGTTGCATTGCAAAAATCAAAAGAGAATGAAATCACTCTTATCAGGCAGCAGGTAATTTGAGCCGAAATTGTCGTTACTGCTTTGTGGCTGACTTGAAATGGCTTTACTACTCCAATAGTATGAGCAATCTCTGGCGAGTAAAACTGAAGAGCTTAACACCGCAAACAACAAACTGCAGCAACTACAGCAGGCAACTACGGAAAATATGGATGTGGGTAAAGGTGTTAAGCGTACGTTTACCACTTCATTTTGTACTGATGCTAACCTGTATGTAGAATATCCGTGAGGACTGCGTGGAGCTTTACACATATGTCGGGCGGCTAGTAAGCGCTGTAGACACAAGCCAACGGTACGAAAAACACAGTGAAAGTATTGTAATTCACCCAAGTTACTAACAGTGTTGCTTTAGAACATTTTCATTACCGAAAAATATCCTAGCCGACCCAATGAAGCTCCGACACATGAAAGCTATTGTACGAAAATGCTATTCCATGTTTTGACAGTTCTAAATCTTAATCTGTGCTATGCTAGATGACGCCGGCAGCAGCACGACTTCCCATACAAACCTCACGCTCTGTTGTGCCGGCGATAAACCGAATTAAATTATCTCGACCCGTATCAGCGCCAGTGCGAAGAACAAAAACTACTTATGCAGCAGCTCTACGGGATCGGGTAAGCCAATCATTCGACGATCCATTCGACAATGACCAAATTGCATACGATGCACGACCCGAAAGAAAAACCGATAAACTTCGACCTCCATCTGGACAGAGAGCGGATGAAGGTGACGACAGGACACAAAACTCGTCGGAATGTCAGCGTTTGATGAAATTACTTGAAGAAGAGGTACGTCATGCTGCTTTTTTTTTTGGTAGAATCAAGTGCATGCGCTCTATAGCTAAAATGTGTTCATCTACGTTCGTCATGCGAACAGCGCAAGAAAAACCGTGCGTTGAAAGCTGCGAATGCTGCACGTACTCGCCAGAAAATAGATGTCTCCGATCGTTAAATTATAGTCTTAAGTTTTAATCCATTTAAAACTCTCCCGCAGTTCGTTCTTCGCTTACATCTATTGCGTTGCTCTCTCCTTCGTAGGCTTCTTGGCATATCCAACAGGTGTACGTAGCGAGAATTAAAGTTTTGATTATTTTACAAACATGATGTCAACCTTTGCATCGTTCTGGGCGCAAAACTAACAGCGTTCCCACACATATTTACCGCTTCAGTAGCATATCTGAGCAGTTCATCCCCCCTCGACTGAGTTTAAGAGAACTAGGTAATCTGCTCAAATCCGTTTCAACAATAGCGGCGCGACGCACGCGTTTTCCCAGCGCAAAACTGAGCAGATAAGCTCGAATAGCCAATATCGAGACTGGACCTGGTTTTGATCTTTGATAGATCCACCAGCAACAATTTCACAGCCTGCAACGTTGCCGAATCCGTCGTACAAATGGTTAAAGCGTGTCCTGTGCAACAGCAACAACAGTTAAGAACGACAAGCTTTACTATGCAACACTTACTTCACGTACCAGTGAAAAGCGTCGTAGAAATACTCGTGAGGTTCCATCATTTTCTCAATTTCAGGTGCTGGAATTGTGCGACTGCACATCGTATAACCCGTGGGCGTCTGCAGTCGGAAAATGATCTGGACCGAGAAAAACGTCATGGGCATGTTTGGAATCACATGGTCTCGGCGGATAATGATCAGATTATCGTTCAAAACCTGCAGCACTTCGAACCGGGTGCGCACAGATCTGTCAAAAGACATTGCCGCCATCTTGTCGCCGTTCGAGAAAATATTCCACGTCTGCTTCAGCAGTTTCTGTGCACTTTCAAGGGGGAATTTCTTGGTAAAACAAAACTGAAGTGCCTGTAAATTACGGTCCACCTTGCGTTTATCTGCCCACCCCATGAAACTCGCACCGGTAGATTCAAAATTGTCTGCTGCGAGGAACCTCTCAATCTCCTGATAAGCCGCACGTACGATAGCAAAGCATTCGTCTGCGGAATGTTGTCGAAATGGTGCGGAGAAGGACGAACTGGGGGGAATTCCGCTGTTCCAGATTTCGTTTTCACCTTCCGACAGATTTTTCAACGTTTGTTGAAACTTTTCGTGAGTTTGCAGCAACTCACGAAGAGCAACTTGGTCCTTCTCCAGCGCATGTGCAGCCAGAGACAGCTCGGAATATTTGCGTTGCAATTCGTCCATAGAAATTGAGGAAAAGCGTGATCTACCATTCGAATTCAACGCTTCTCTTCTCCTGGTCATCTCAGTGTACACGTCTTCAAGTTGCTTGACCTCGTGTCGCATTCTTTTGAGCATTTCCTGCCGTCTTTGCCTCGATTTCTTCTCAATGGCGGAGCGTCTCGCTCGTTTCGCTTCTGCCGAGTCTTTAACTGTTACAGGGTTCTTAACACTTGGACTGATACCACCGACCTCGTGTGATGTCGACGGGGGCGGCGTTGCCATCCTCAGACTCGTCAGTTCCTCGCTCTTGATCCAGTCGTGACGCGTCGCCACCGTCGGCTCGTCGCATTTTTCCATCTCGGACAAGTCCGCGATGGCCTCTGAGAAGACTCGATCCATGGTCGGAGTCAGCGGCGGCAGCATCACGAGCTCCAATTCTTCCAGCATGTCGTCATTCATCTCCATTTTCAATGGATTTCTTGAGCGCAAGAGGGCGAAAATGCAACTGAATCGAACTAGCGAAGTGGTGTGCTAATGCCCAAAGCAGACGGCATTCTGACCTTTGCTAAATGTAAACGGAAAATAGGTCGTCGTCTCATTTTTGTGCTGATGTTAATCAAATTGTTTTTACCAATAAAATTTAAATAAATCGTTTTTACAAGAAAAAACTGATTAAACGAATCACATCAACAGAGATTGATAGTTGAACGATTTTTTACCAAAAGTAATACAATAATACCCACCACATAATTAGCTACTAATAACATGATAGTATTACCGACTTGACTGACTGGTCTAAGGGATAGTACTGCTATATTAGTGGAGTATTACTACTGTTGATCTTGGTGGCCACAAAGATACCTACAGAGCCACATTTTCGGCATCGCTGGTCTCGATATGCTTGATCACCTTCTGGTTGTGCTTCAGGAGTACTTGCATCTCCGCTCGGTAGTTATCCGTCCGAGTACGCCGATTGCTCATTACGACCGGTAGAGAAAACGCGTTCCTGAAACGCGTTGCTCTTCCCAACCAAATCCGAGCAAGCGCTGCAACTGATGGGAAGCGAGAGCTGCCGACTTCACGAAACCAGCGCAGAATATCGACATGCTCACAGACAGGCTCGACTCGCCAACACACGACCCCGTTTCAGCGTACCAACAGAAGCGGCGTGAAATCGTCACTGGTCTTTGTCTTCTCCGGTGCATGCTGCACAGCAGTGGCGACCCAGTCAACCGTATGTTGTAGCCATTTCTCCAGCACTCTGTCCGCTTGCTCGTGCAACGTCAGCGTAGAGCTTCACCTTCCGCCACAGCCTCGATCGGAGTGCCACAAATCACCTCGACGTCAGCGTAAGTGACAAGGTCAAAGTTAGGCGATGTCGTAACAGCGGTAGTCTCAAAAGCGTTGAGATCATGAGCGTGAAGAGAGCAGAACATCTCCCGATGCGCATCAACCAAAAGCTTGCTGGCTGCGCTGACAATCTCCGAACTTTGCTGGGATTGCTGGGTTTCTCCATCACTTGCGTGCTTTTCAGTTTCAGGTGTGGTCGAAGGTGCTATCAAGGATTCCACCGAAAACTTGGTCCGTGGATCGAGTAGAAGGATCAAAACCGTCTCGGCAGTGGCAGTCCCGATTCGTTTCTTCAGCTAACCCTTCATCCGCGCCAAGCAAACACGTGCAAGCCCGCTGAAAGTTTCACCTGAGATCAAGATGCGACGAAACGTATCCACTGTGGTCATCGGATCTCGCGGTGCGTTGAGATCGAACATCGAGAAGCTGTTGCTGTACAACCGATCGGCCTCGAACTTCAACAATACGATGAGCTCGGACGCTACAAGGTCACTCCGCTGCACTTCAATCCGAGCAAGGTCCGCGATTGAGCCCACAATTGACTCTATCTCCGCCATCAAACGCCAGTCGGCGTGCTCCAAGCACTCGAAGACCGATGGATCGTCGCCCTTCTCACGGCACTGGAAGTAGTATTGGAACGCTGAGTAGTTCACAATGGATCTTTCGAGTAGCTTCACCGTGAAAGCAACACGAGTGTCGCAGTCTAGCGTGGGGACAATCTCTGGTAAGCCGTAGAACGCTTGCGTCTTCTCCAAGCGCTGGCAGCGCTGTTGGGTGGAGAAATAGTTGTTGAGAGCACGCACGCGCTTGATCAGATCCTGCCCTTCCTCATAGGGGTTTCCAACCGTACAGTAGCGTTTTCACGCTTACAAGAGTTCGTGGCTGGATCATACACGTCCACCGTTTCCTTGTTCTCCCTCATTCCAATCGCGTACTGCAGGCACAAGTTCAACACGTGCATCGTACAGTCGGTGACAATCGAGTCCTCGAATAGCTTGGAGGTCTTTCTAGCCCTTGCAGTGGTTCCAATACCGTAAATTGAGTCATCGCGGAGATGTCAACATCGTACAGATCGCGAATACGCGAGCAGATCACCCACTGCATGTCTGTAGCTGCATGCGATGGGTTTCCAACAGTGAGAAGGAGAACAATCTCACAGTGATTCCAAGTCTTGTCGATGAACGAAGCGGTCGTCCCGAGCACACCGACCTTGCCGTTTCCGGTGGTCCATCCGTCGTGGTGCAGATTTAGGAATGGGCCATGAGCTGCCTTGAGCTCTCGCTGCCTGTCTTATTACTGTACTTGAATCATACCCCAGTCAGTAGGTCTCGGAACGTCGATGCAGCTAGTATCGTAGCTCCAAGGTTACCGGTCAATCGCTGAACCAAAAGCTTGAAGCCTTCACTCGCAACCGTGTTGTAAGCTAGCCCCGAACTGATCAACCAGTGTGTAGACGCTGATATCTCGCTGAGTGGGGGCCCACAACTTCTGGAGTGTTCCGCGTCGTTTAACCGCGCGATCATTCTCAGCCGGCGAAAGTGATCGCCTGGAGTTACTGGCATGATCAGTGGCATCGTCAATGTTACGAGTAGCAGCTTCCAACCTTGGGCTTGCCTCAGCTTGTCCAAGCTGGTGGTCTTCGTGAGCGGCCACCATGTGCGCGCCTTCGCGTTGGACGTGTTGGTCCAGCGGTGCAGAGTGCCTTCCCAAGCTCTAGCCGATGCGTAAGGCCGGCAAGTCAACTCCTGAGCACACAAGAGACACTTGTCGCGATCACGTGTCTTCACGAACGGTGTTGCCAGGCGATGAGCAACATCCCACACTTCGTGACGGCAATTTTCCTGGCGGTAAAGAACAACCCCGAGGGCAGTGTTGACATTTTTGTTTTTACATTTTTTACATTTCCATGTAAAAACCGCTTTTTACAGCATTTAAAACACTTTAACACAGACTTTTTTACATTGTTGACGTAAAAAAGATCTACTTGAAGTATAAAACTCAGCTGGAGCCGACATGCCGTCATTCCTACACTTATCGAGTTCCCAGTCAAAAGCTGGGAGCTCGTGTCGCTCATGGAGTTGCTGCCCGACCATCAAAGCGATCTTGCAGAAGCCCCCAAGCGGGGTCGACCTCCAAGTTCTCTCAGCTCGAACTTCTACAGACTAAACGAGAAATGTAACAAGACCATGTGGTGGACAATATGCAAGTACTGCTACGTTGCCCATGTAAATGACAAGGCCAGAGTCCCATTTCCTGTCAGCATTCACGGCCGAAAAGCTTCCTGGGAGAAGCATCTGTCTGATTGCAGTTACTACGTGCAAGCCACGGGCAAGTTACTGAATAAGGAGAGCGACACCAGCGAGTACGAGGTCAGCCGGTCTAACAAGCAGCAGTGTGCACCACCACCTGATTTTACTTCAGCAGAACAGCGGATGTTCTGGCGACTCTTACTGGAGTTCCAGGCGGAAGCGATGCTACCGGACTCTTTTGTGGAGTTAATGTCGTTCAAGCGATTGCTTACATTTCTGAACGCTCGATGTGGAGCTACTGGCGCCGTTCCAAGTCGCCAAGTTTTAGGCGGGCGGGTTCTTAACGAGTATGCTGACCTGCATTCAACTGAGCAGCGTAATCACGTTATGGAAATTCAGAATCGAAGTGGTGCCAGAGTTAATTTTTTGTCGGATGTGTGGGAAAATATTGCAAAGCAGCATGTATTAGGCTGCCAAGTTGCTTTGTTTGGTCGAATGATGACACATGGGTTGGTGCCTACCGGTTCTCGTCACGATGGGCTAGCAATTGCCCAACAAATGGAAGATGTCATGGAAGAGTTGATTGCGTCTCAGTGGAATGTGGGCTCAGCCGTGACCGATAATGCTGGTCAATGCCGCAGAGCGCGAGGTATCTTAGCACTCAGATATCCCAATATTGTGTTTTTATTTTGCTTTGCCCACGACGTGAATAACCTCGTTAAAGCAGTTCTCAAAACTGTTTTTAAGCAGGTATCAGAAGCTGCTGCTGGTGCTGCGAGCTTTCTGAATACGTCTACCTCTAAATGGCTGACCCGAGCCATTGAGGCCATGGAGAATCGCTACGGAGACAGTTTTGCAGTTTTTACGTTGTGTGAAACGCGCTGGAACTCAATGCAGGCGTGCTTTGCGTCACTCCTACGCGCGCGCGGAGCTCTGGAAGACTTGGTTTTTAAGTACAGGAACGACAGCGATCTCCCTTCTAAACTACGGATTTTGGCTGACAGTGAATTCTGGAACAAGTTGGAGAGCGCCGAGAAGGTTGTGCGACCTTTATGTACTGCATCGTTCCGCTTACAAAGAGATGAGAATACAGTCGCGGATGTTGTTCGCTCATACATGGACGTGTACATTGGTTTCGCTGCCACAGAGTGGAGTCATGTTCTTGTGGAATGTGTTGAGACTCGATGGAACGCGTGTGAGCAGCCATTGTTTATGTTAGGATATTTTCTCCACCCTCGATACGTATCCGAAGCAAGAAAGTTGCCTTCAACTGTCCTTACCCAGCTGGATGATATCTGTCAATTTGCGCAATACTACTACTGACGATTTATCGGAGACGATGACAGCACCTTGCGTGGTGATGTGTTCGATTGGATAGAGGGGAGCTATACAACAAGCCGAGTGACAGACTTCAGCTCGGACTTGGTTGTAAAATTCTGGCAGTACCAAAGGAAATCGAAGCCTAGCAGCAAGCTTCCGCTCTTGGCGCTCACCATTCTGGCGATAGCAGTAAACACAGCGACCTGCGAACGCCTCTTTAGTGAGCTTGCTCTCATACACACGCCAAAGAGAAATCAAATGGCGACTGAGAAGACCCTGAAGCATC